AGGGAGGAGGCAGGGGAACAGGGACGAACTACTACTATGATGACACTATACATACAAGGGAGCACGGCTTAAGCTCCCTCTTTTTGGCACGCGAAGTCACCGAGTTCACCCTCCTGACGATCCTGCGGTGGGCAGGTGAAACTGGTAGAGGGATCCACCAGTGCTAGCTATGGCAGTGACCTGGATAGAGAAACATGGTTGACGCTGCTGTTGACATGTGAGATTCATCTCTTTTGTTGACTGAGCTGTTTATCTGGTTTTTGCTGTCCGTCGTCCTGCATGGGCTGTGGAGCCGGAGTCTGCCTAACTCGTAGGCACGTAGTAACCGGGCACTGTTTCTATGCTTACTAGGTGGCTGCATCGACGGATACACGAGGTAAGGGGAGGTGAGGAGAGTACACGACTAACTAGACATGACTTCAGACGGGTGTGCGAACACACATCAGCGGGAGAATAGAGCCTGTGGCTGGCAAGCGGCGACCACGCTCGTGTCATACGCGCCAAGAAGAGATTGGAGCGGGTAACCACTATGGGAGGAAAGTAGATCTAGCTAGAGAACGTGAACTGACTGGAGATCGCGATCGGGTCACCTGAGTAGTTCGACGTACGAGCACTACGTGCGAAGCGGAGCTCACGAACGAGAACGACACACGTCGTAGCGAACTCGGCAGATGAGGACTACTAGAGTCTTTGGCTGGCAAGAGACGACCGCGCTCATACAGTGCACGCCAAGAAGGGATCGGAGCAGGTAACCGCTACGCAAAGGGAGGTGTTTTAGCCGGAGAACGCGAACTGACTTAAGAACACGATCGGGACACGAGCGCAGCTCGAGGTACTAACACTACGTGAGAAACGGAGCTTACGAACGAGATTGGAAGCACGTCAGAGCAAGCACGGAGGGTAAGGACCACTACAAGTCGAATTAGTGAGATGCGCGAGTCAAACACAGCGTGAGGGACAAGCGAGTGATTGATACCTATCGGAAGAGCTAACGGAGTCACTAACACCTGACGCGATAAACTAGGATGAGAAAACAGTGTCTTATCAAGACTGTAATGTACGGACTCGGGTGCGTGATTATTGGGGTTGGGTTTATGCTTATAGGAGCGGCCTTCTGACCACTCAAGATGCCGTATAGATGTTTTCGTTGCCGCGCGGTAAGGATTAGGACCGCCAGGAGATGGAGAGCATCGTTCAATAGCCGACTTAGATGGTATCTGAATAGCTACGTAAGGACAGCGATTAGACCGATGTTCTTCCTAGCTGAATGCAAAGAAAACACTCGCACGAGGAATGGTCTCTATGATATGCTAATGAAGCACCTGATTCTAATCGAAAGCACCTTGCTCGCACTAAGAGACGACAAGAACACACAGTACGACGCAATCATGGATATTTGGAGGAATTAGGAGCCTAAACGGAGAATGGTAGATAGATGGAACACGGATAACGGAGGTACAGGTGTGGGAAAATACAGTAGGATGAGTATCATAAGTTAACTAAGGATAGGATAAACGGGAAAAGAATAGAGGACAACAGCAGATAAGTGTAGAGCAAAGGGTGATAATTAACAAGATAAGATTTAATAGATACACTTGACGAGAGGATAGAATGTACCTGACTACGGGACCATCGAGTGGAAACGGAGGGAGTTTTGGAGGAGCGGGTAACTATGGGGGAAATAATAATAATCAACAAAACCTCGTAGGGCAGAGTAATCCCGGAGGAAGCGGGTTCGGGAACGCAGGCGGACCGAACAGGGTTTGCTATAACTGCGGTAAACCCGGGCACTTCGCTAGAGACTGCTGGTCCGGACGCGGAAGGCAAAACCAGCAAATTCAACAAGATCCGGAGATCGAAGAGATAAAGGAGCAGTTCAGACAAGCAAGGAGTGAAAGACAGGAACAAGAAGAGAGAAGGAAGGCTGAGGAGGAGAAGAGGGCGAGAGAGGAGGAAGAAGTCTGGAAAAATCAGGACTTCGCAAGGAAGATGGAGGAATTGAAGCTCCAACTACGCATCGATCTGAACGAAGAATGGAGGACGAAGAATCAGGCAGCGGAGGAAGCCGTGCGTGACACAAGGAGAGAGAAAACGGTCAGCAAAGCCAGGAAAGGGAAGAGAGGCCGGCGAAAGGTACGAAAGACAAAGAGGAAAGTCTACTTCGACACGAGTGAGGAATCTACCACGGAGACGGACACGGCTTCGAGTTGCACAGACACTGCGAGCGACTCGGAGATACGCAGCAAGCGAACGTGGTCAAGGAAGCGGGGAGGAAAGGGGAGAGCAAAGGCCGGAAGCAGGAAAGGGAAGGAGGCAGCACCTATGAAGGAGGCCACGCCAGTAGTACACGAGAAGGGTGAATGCTCCAGGAAAGCACCAACGGAAGGAAGGGGAAGTGAGCATCGAGATGAGACTGCGAAGGGGGAGGATGGACGGGATAAAGAAGCGGAGCCGAAGACACCACTAACAAATGGGTATAAAGGGCTCTCAGCCAGCTGTTCGCAACAAGGTTTGATAGAATATTGCATCTCGGCTCATAAAATCTATTCGGAGAAGAAGGCACACACTCTCAGAAGAATTTGCGAGAAGAAGGGTATTAAATACACTACAAAGCCGGAAGTCGTAGAACTGTTGGCGCGACAACAAGTGGAACTCGCGTATGACGGGTTCGATACGACCAAGAACGCTGACGACACGAACGGAAGAGGGAAGGCACCTGAGACGCCTAGAAAGGAGACTTTAAAGGAGAAGACCGTGATGGAGACTCCGACGATGCGACAACCCAGAATCGTCCTCAAGTCGGCACCAATGCAACCAGAAGACTCCGACTGACGGTGCGCAGCCCCTACTAACACACAACTGTGGGAGACACTGAATAGGTGGCTCGCACAACGCAAGTTTTGTAGGGGGCAAGGACTGTGCGGAGAAAAGACTAGGAAAATTGAGGCGACCATCACCATTAGTACGGTAATACTGACTACACGAGGACAAATTTCGTGGCTTGAAAAGTACCTAGCTAGAGCAGATGGATGGGAGCATATGCTGGATTTGGATACGGGAGGAGTGTATGCAGTGGTAAGTCCGTGGACGAGAAAGGTGCATATAGGATGTACCACCAGGCCCATCATCCAAAGGTGGAGGGAACACTGCAACAACGCAAATAGTGACACGCTAGGACTAGCACCACACCTTTACAGGTGGCTTAGAATGTATGGGATTGACAGGTACCTAGTTCTCCCCATTAGGCACGCAGGAAAGACAGACGATTATTCGTATGAGAGATTCCTTATCTCTGACTTGTGTCCAAGTCTAAACACGAGGGAAGTGGGTAAGGAGGAAAGGAGAAGAAGGAGACAGAGGAGGGGGAAACGGGAGAGAAGGGGAAGAGCGTGTGTCATGAGAACGAAGAGTGTGGTGACCTACGTTCATCACGGTGTGACCGGGACGTCGTTCATCAAGCTGCTGGAAGATCACCGGGGGCAAGGACTGAACTCAGGAGAGGTGACATTCAACAAGGGCGAAGTTTGGATTGATGGATGGCGGAAAATTAGAACCAGGTATGGAGGAACTACACTGGAAGTCGCGGGCGAGATCAAGAAGCGGAAGGAATCTAAATCGCAGCTTGAGAAAGGGGCTAAGGTGGTGATCATCAAGATAGTAAAGGAGAAGACGACCACGGAGAAAAACAGGATCTTTCTACGAGAATTACTGCGAAGACCGAAGCCAAAGAACGACGATTTTTTATACAAGTTTTTACTGAAATACGTTTTGATTATATTAAGAAGATCATGAAGACTGATACTTGAGAACATATTGATGAAACAAACAAAATACAAACAGTTAACAAAATATAATCATAAATCTTCGGTTGTAACTGAATGTGTAGTAAATTCGTAGATGTTGTATTTAAGGTAAACAACAAGTTCCAAATAATGGGAACTACCCAATAATAAATAAGAAAAAAAACCTGCCTGACGCGACTGACCACAAATAAGCTTATTGGATTGTATCGTGCGGCGGCCTTATTTTCGGAAAAGAAGACCAAAACCTCACTACGACGGAAGATTGGCATCGCCACGAGACGAAAGACCGGAGTGAGCATCAGGAAGCGCATCATAGTAAAGCTCAAATATGATGCGCTCATTAAGAGGAGCAGTATGCGAAAGGCGACTGAAGATCTGATCGGCAGCAAGATCGGTGATAGAGCGATAGCCACATTTGTAAAGATCAGGATCAGGCTGGTCTGGAGTAGAAACAAGATTGTCGGCGAGCTGCTGCATAACCAGAAGAAATACGCAACGGAGGTGGAACGGATCTGCAACTGTACAGGTAGCAACCTACCAAAGGTGGAGGGACATGTAAAGACAAGATTCGCGAACCTGAAGGATATACCGAGCTTTGTCAGGAACGCGAGGAACGTGACAAGATCAGACGGAGCGGTGGACATACGGACACTGGAGCAGGCGATCCTGGCTGCTACGAAACACTTGAGAGGACCGGAGATACCGGTGGTTCTACCGAAGGACACAGTACGCAAGGAAGCGAGACGAAGCCCAGCGTGGACAGAGAATGAAGTGCACAACTGGAGAAGGATATTTGAAGGATTCGTGCTCACACCGATAGACTGTAACCAGGGGGATACCGCGGTCATCTGCCCGGTTCTATACCGCCACGCTTTTGGAAAGGTATTCCTCTGGAACGAGAACTACGAAGCCGTCGGCGATCTGAACTCGGAAGTAGAACTGCTGCGGAAGGGCAGAGAGGACTTTACGAACCTAAAGCTGGACAAAATCGGAGGATGGAAACCTGACGGGAGGCTCGAGACCGCCTATGTGATACCGAAGCACAAGGACCTGGATAGATGGAGGCCCATAGCACCGGCACCATCTGATCCAGGAGCACTCGCACAACGGCGAGTAGCGAGGGCACTACACTGTCTCTTTGTGAGGCTGCCGGTGACAAACCCCTTCTGTTTGAACTCGGTGGCTGAACTCGGCAGACGGATGGAAGCAGCTGCGCGTAGACTATAGAACGAGGGTTGTACGGAAGTAGCAGGACGATGCTACGACATAAAGGAGATGCTCTCAAGGATTCCGCATGAGGTTGTGCTACAAGCAGTCACCCGGATGCTCCAAAAGTACGAAGATGAGGGATGGCAGACGGTGAAAGTGTCATACAGGGGCAAGTTGTGTGTTCTAAGTAAGACAAGACGGAAGACCGATGGGTATGTATCCATCAAGCTGAAGGAACTGCTGGCGGGGGTGCGGTTCGACCTGCTGAATTCAGTGGTGAGATGTGGGAACAGGATATACAGGCAGTGGTTCGGGATTCTTATGGGGAAAACAACGAGCCCAATACTGGCTTCGATTACATGTGCTATGGCCGAAATGCAGTTCCTCGGCTCCCTGGGAAGGGACTGATGTCTTGTATTTGGCTGGCGAATCATGGACGACATCTCAATCGTGGTGGGGCAGACCGGAAGAACCCAAGCGAAGACTGTGTTCGAAATCTTTGAGCACATATATGACAAGCAGCTCGAGGTTGTCAGAAAAGACAATTGCGGTCTGACGTGGTCGTTCGTAGGAGAATCGGTGTTCCTGCGTAATGATCCTATTGAGTTTCATTACGTGCCGCATACAAAGAACACGGAATCACTGACAGAAGGAAGAGGACTGGAATTCCAGACAATGCAGGACTATGCCTCTTATTCCGATAAGAGGGTGAAGAAAGCAGTTCTGATAACTACGATGAAGAGACTGTGGGAACAAACGACTAGCAAGCCATTGGTGATAGGCGCAATTGCGTTTGCTATGGTTGAAGCCGACCTCCGGGGCTACCCCCCGTAGGTCTCTCTCGGTGCTTTGGCCCGTTTGGCCAAAGCTGCGGCGGACCCAAGGGGCGGGAAAATGTGGCAGCTACTCGATATGGCGATGAGATGGGGGAAGGGAGGAACCCTGTCCAGATACCATATAGTGGCACAAGCAGAAGGACTTGGCACTTAGAATAGAAATCCAGACATAGCATGATGCGTACCGGACCACTAGGCATGCC